TCGTGGTTTTCCCTGCCAAAACTGTTCGTTTTCCGAACAATAAGGTCATATTCGGAATCAGCGTGAAAAAACTGCATCGAATGGTGTATAACTTATCTAGTTTCGGTCGCTCGATTTTGAATTCTAGAAATTTCTTAGTCCTTGAGATTCACACAAACAATTTCGTGCTGAAAATTTGAATTTCAAGATAAAGTAACCTGAACGACTCGAAACATGTTTCTTATAGGTTTGCGACAATGCTCTTTCCAGTGGCATCATTTTTAAATATTGAGAAGGTTTTTTGAAGGGTTTTCCAGCGACCGGATCTCTGGAAAACTCCTTAGAAAACTTTTTCAAAACCCAACTCTCATGCCATTAGAAAGAGGATATAAAAAAATGGTTCATGAAATTTTAGTTCACTCATAAAGCTAAAGTCCGTCTGCTCTAGCAAAAAATCCCCACTGTGCTTCGACCGTTGATTTTCTTGTTGGGCACCATTTATACGAATGACAGTTAAAATCACCTGTAAATACGATTGAGTCATATTGTCGATATATATTGGATCGAATTTTATATAGAGCATCTGATAGATGTTCAATAAATTGAGGGCAATTTATCCAATCCGACCTGTAACACGCACCCAGTAGACACCTCTTCCCGTCGTTCAAGTAGAGTTTCAAAAACAATGTCTCAAAATCAGGATTCTCCAAAGTGTTACAGCGTTTAGCTATAATATCATTGCGAACAAAAACCAACAAACCTCCGCCACCTTTTCCCACGCGATTACGACGTATCGGAGACTGATAATTACCTACCAACAACATAGAGCTATCAGTGGTTCTACCTAACCAAGACTCGGTCACTACAACTGCCATGGGTCTAGAAGTGTTCATCATGTTAACAAGCAAGTCAAACTTCAGAGGAGAGAGAGGACTTTTTGAATTCTCATCTAGTTTTCCCATTATACTGTTAGCGTTAAGAAGAAGAATCGAATCCGACACCTGTGGATGTTTTGTTAAGAAATTACGTGACGCCATCGCGTCGAAGGAAAAAGATTCCCCACACACACCGCGTCGACTCACAGCACAAAAGATAAACCGAAAAAATGTAGTACAATCACACGAAAAATTAAAAAGAGGATCAACAGTTTTTGTAGGCTCATGATGAAGGAAAAAGAGAAAGTTTTGTACACACTCCGAGTAAAGACGCGTCGCTTATCCAATTTTTTGAAGAAACAAATTCACCCACGAAATCGACTGACAACAATGTTTCCTTAATAGCATTAATAAGTCCGTCACTCACCGACGATTTTTGGAGAAGTTTATCAGTTTCATCACGATCCAATATTGGTGATTCCGAACCTTTGTGTTTTTTCCGATCATTTTCTTCAAAACTTATATCACGTTCAGTATTGCTATCCATATTATTGCGTATGTACAGACACGTTTCTTTTTTAAAGAAGAAAACGTCCTTTTATCATGAAAATAAGACGAGAATTTGACTAACCCCCACTATTGAAGGAGACAACCGGCAAACATTGACAAGTATTTCATTTAAATAGTGAGTCAAAATATTGTTTCTCACTCAAGTTATGAGTTGTTTTCAAAAAAATGGCAAAATTTCAAAACTGAGATGAAAATGACGTAATAAGTCGGAAACCAACAAATACTTCGACGTGCTATTTATGTCAGACAGTTGAAATTGCGAGCTATTTAATGATCGATGTATGCAGTTAGAGGACAACGTGATAAAACCTACATACTTCTTGAATAATCCAGCTAAATGACGGCCAGTAAAGTTTTACGACCATCTGTATTTGACCTGTGCTGGAAAAATACCCAAAACAGAACTGTTGAATCGATTTTAAATGTCTTTTTAACAGAATGGCATACTTTTGACGGGAAGTGAAACATCTTCCCCTTAAAGAAAGTGATGATTGTTCCGACGACCAAATTTATTACGTTAGTAGACGGTATAGAATAAATGAGAGAGTGTTAGCACTGTTGTTGTTGTGCTATCCCTTGGTACAAGCAGTTTGTCTGGCTGGTATGATTTGAGCACATAAAAATTATGAATAAAAATTGTCAATAAAAAAAATCTTGATAATATCAGTTGTTTTGGATGGAAATCAGTGTTTTCTCAGTGATGTAGACAACTATTTATGAGATGTTTTTAAAGAACAGGCGATAAAAATGACGTTTTTTCCCGTTCTCTATTTTTGAATAGAACGAAAAATATACTCCTTTTGCGATTATTGAGAATATGCGATTTAAACAGGACGTACTTTCAGTGCGATAACTTTATGTTTTATTTATAAAATTGTATATTTTTCTTCTTCAGAATACGCTAGTTCGATCGTATGTAAAGTGTTATCTACATGACATAGTATTTGCAAATATGTTTCACAAACGAGATGTTTCACAGCTCTGAGAGAATCGTGATAACTGATTTGTAGCAATTCTCCCGGATGTCCCAACACCAGTTAAAAACTGGTGCATGCCTACTCTTAATCTCAAGATGGTGCTTCAAATATCATATTAACTGGCATCACAATAGTTCAAGTAAATGGTAGTAGGACGTTTAATAGAACGATAATATCAACGAATACTTGAACAAAAAAATCTTATCTATTAGCAGTTACTCTAATACCATCTCTTTTCATACTATTTGTTGTTGTTATTCTAAACATTGTTTCCATTATTTTTTTAAGTCACCGACGAAAATATTGAAAACTAAAATGTGAACACGAAGAATTATTCGCTACAAGGTCATCGATGTCATTCGATTTATAATTAACACTACCCAACGATGCATCGACACAATTAACAATTGAATTATTCGGTAAGAAAAAATATTGTGTATAAAAAATAACCAAAGTGTAGATGCTAACTGTAAACACCATTCTAAGAAATAACAAATATAATTTAAATGTTTCATGCAATCTGTTTTTAATGAAAACTGCGTCTAAGAAATGGCTGTTTCTGTTGTAAAATTGAACATTTTCAAATAGATTCAAATATATTTAGTGAGCTATATTTTGAAAGATTTTCGTTTTTCTACAAAAGAATTAACTTTTTAATTAGACAAAACAACTATCATAGAAAAGCTGTTTTCGATTAAAAACGAACATAAAATATATTCTTTTATACAGGTTTTTCCACTGTATTTATATGTGATATTTTCATTTGAGAAAAGTCAGATACTGATCAAACATCGGTTAAAATAAAGATTTTTCAAGTACTGGGATTTCTTGAAATATAACTTATAAAGTAAAATCTTTTAAGTTGTCGTGATGTAAGTGAATTTGTTTAAAAATGTTCAGTTTTACAACAGAAACATCCATTTCTCAGACGTAGTTTTCATTAGAAACAGAATTTATCATCACCTTCTCACTAAACTAGACATGACATTTTTTAAAAGTTGAAAAATGAATTTGTACAGTTGAACTACAAACGTTGCATAATGAGATCTTGCAACATTTCTATTGTGGATAGAGTGTGAGAAGCTTAAACTTTCTTTTATATCGAATCAGCTTACAAATAGAACATCATTTCATTTTATTAAACACATGCGAAAACAGGAAAGTATCACATTCAACAAATGAGATATATTGCACAGACACGTACTCGAAAGCCATCATGAGTAAATACTACATTAGTAGCAATTTAACAAAAACAAAATCAAACTTTTTTCACAAATAAAAATGTAACTTTCTAAAACCACCAACAAAACAGAAAATAAACTAAACACACTTGGAGTTTATCTTTGAAATGTTCACCGGAAATTATTTACAATAAAGTTTCACTCGCAGATATTATCGTTAGCAAATCCAATTTTCATTGTCATCATGTCCGCCGTTTTAAAATGATAAAGAGGCCTGTGTGCTATATTAGAAGCTAAAAGGACATGGAATATTATTAAACTGAGAGATCACCTTAAAAACAAATTCAATGTTCCATTGCAGTAAGAAATATCTATTCAAATTGTTATGAAAGCTTTGTTAGAACAACAAAAGAGTAGCTCGGATTTCATTGGTCATTTCTCCTAAACGAACTTTTTCGATTAACTAAATGACATACATCGAACAGTTGAAGTATTTGACGTTCTATGACATATCACATAGCCAACCACATATTTTCAATAGTTACTACTCTTTCTGATGACTTTAGATCTCTAAGAGATTAAGTCATAAGGTAAGAATTTGATGGATAGCTATGAAAGAATCTATTTGTACCGTTAGATACAAAAACACATCTACCTTTCTATTTTTCAATATCTTCTTCATCACCATCTATGTGTTTCAGTTGTCGATGTGTTTTCATTTGTCCGGGACCAATTGATGAATATTTACATTGTCGATAACAACAATGATAATGCATTTGCTTATTTTTATAGTGAATACATGTTTTCCAATATAAACATTGTTCGGTAGCTAAAGTTTTTTTAATATTTAAATGTTTAAGATAAACTTCTTTTTCATGATGTTTACGATGAGAGAGAATTTTTGATGTATCATGACATGAGAATGTTTTACATCTTAAACAATGATAATGTGTTTGTTTTTGTTGACGATATTTACATGAAATATTATTACAATCCAATAATTGTCCACGATACATTTGAAAATCAGTTAACAATAGTTGGTCCGATTTAACATGTTTATCTAAATATAAAATGTACAATAAAACTAATTTTATAGTAGTTATTACTAAATTACCTAAATGTGTTTGAAATCGATTTTTATCGGTAAAATGATAGCAACAATCTAATCTTAAACAATGATAATGTGTTGTCACTTGTGAATAAGAACAGTGATTAAAGAGACATGATTCACCAATGGAAAAACGTTGAAATCCTTCTGGTACATCTGAATCTGACTGTTGTTGTTGTTGTTGTGAATAATGAAAATGATCTTTTTGTGCGGCAAATGGACAGTTGACAACAGGACAGGGATCAGTTGATTTGTACAATGTACGTTCTTGTTGTAACAAAACAACATCACCATCGATCTCGTCTTCTTCTTCCTGAACAGATTCAACGGGTGACCGATTCTCTTGTTGTTGAACAGACGGAGACGAGGTTATTTTTTGTTGTTGTAATTGGTTTTTAATTAATTGAATTTGATTGTACAACGTTGTTGTTTCATTATGAAGTAAGTTAACATTGTCCAATATTTGTTTTTGCAAATGAATAACACACGATATATCAATTTTAAATGTTGTTTCCCATAAATCAACTAAATTTTTATCAATCGTGGATATCTACAAATAGATATTAAATTGATGAAAGTTTCTAATTCATTGAAAATAGATAGGTACATACATGATAACCATGCTTGATTAAATGTTGCTGTAATTTATCCGATTGCATAAAACTTTGATCACATTGTTTACAATGATAATGACAATGTCGACGATATTTACAATAGGGACGTAAACAACTACCGCTTGTTACTTGTGGTTGTTGTTGTTTCATGTAAAACATTTCAGATTTTAATTTGGACCAGATACTTTGAACAGGTGGTTGAGTTTTCATTAAACGTTGTAAATATAAGTAAACTTCAATTAATTGAACACCGGTATCATCATTTTGGAAAGTCTTTTTATGCTGAACGGAGGATGATGATGATGTAGATACGTGATAATCATCGTTTGAAGACGATGGAGTGATATATTTTGGTACTGGTAATAAAATGGAATTATATGGTGGACCAGTTATAGTGGTAACAGTAGACGATAATAATAGTTCAGGTACAACAGGATTCTGAATAGAAATATAAACAAAATTTAAAATCTGTTACTATGTCCAATTACTTACTACAACAACTGATTGATGGCGATGACTATGTTCAGTTTCATTCTGATTGGTTTGCGGAATCGTTGGAGATATTTGTTCAAAACAAAAACCGGAGCCTTAAGCAAAAAAATTTGGTCACTATGTGTACTAACTGTTCTATAATTTTACCTATTGCTAAATCTTCCTCTTCTTCTTCGCTATTTTCTTCATTAACGGATGCAGTTTCATCATCATTATCATATTCTGCAACATCGATTGATGACAATGACGATTGTAAACATTGATATTGATCATTTTCTACGGACAGTGTTAGTCCTGAAGTCGGAACATCATCGATTGTTGTTGATGTCGAAGATAGATGACGTTTTTCGTTGTTTAATAATATTGGGGATTTATATTTTTTACGTTTTAACGGTGAAAGAGATTTATGTTTCTTATTCTTCTTGCGATGTTGTAAATTATCACCATTATAACGTTTTATGTCCTCATTCTCATGTTGTGTTGTATAATGTTCCAATTTTGAGAACAATGGTGAATTCAATGGAAATATTTGACCGCATGAACCCTAAATATGCATGAGACATAGATTCTGATACTATCAATACGGAGCCTGATAAAACGTTACATACCACAACACAATGATAATGTGTTTGTGTATAGAGTTCACATTGTGGCATACATGTAAACGGTGGCATGTAAGAATAATGAGTACGAAGAATTTGTTCTTCCATTGTATGATCACTAAAGAATGAAAACACAAACCAAGGATATGAGTACTAGACATAAAGAGGTGATAATTACCTTTCATGTTCAAGTACATGTGCTTGTTCAGTCGTTGAATATTGACATGTTTTTAACAAACAATGAAAGTGTTTTTGTTTAAAATATTTACATGATGAATATAAACAACAATTTGAATTAAAACTAAAAAAAATATGCTAAATACTCGAGAACATTGTTCCATTTTTAGTATTGATTTACAAAACTCTATGATTCCCTGTAGCCAGAACATTTCTGATAAGTACACATTATCTTACCATTTATATAGCGATTTTGGAGATGTATCATCATCTGTTGTTGTTGCACTTGATGATCTTATTGGTTTTTGTTGATTTAAATAATTTTCTTCATCAATTTCTAGTCCATTTTGCTGTTCTTTACAATTACTCGATGATGAGGATGAATTATTTGATATTATTATTGTTCGTAATGTTGAACTGCGTAGATTGACACTGACATTTGATTGAGATTTAACAACCGCCTGGTGGTTCTGAAATAAAAACATATAATATCCATTTAATTAATAAACGAAAAAGTAAATATGCCTAGTATAAGATTTCATCTTTAATTCTATTTTACCTTGTTTGCTTCTGTTTGATGTTTTTCATGTTTTCGTTTATGAGTCAACATTTGTGAAATGGAATGTAAAATATAACCACAATCTACGATAGAATAAGTAAATTAGTATGTAGTCTATAATAAATAATAGATCTTTTCTCAATGTCTTACCTTGTCTCATACAATGGATATGATTAGCTGTTTTCGATAGATTACAATCTGGAAAATGACAATATTCTTTTTTCGAAAATTTTTTAAAACCATCTTTCATCAGTTTTTCATCTTTTGCATGATACATTTTATGTTTTTCTAAACATCATCAAAAATAGTAGTATCTCTATCAGATATTCTCATCAACATACCAATATCTGAACGTTGTTTAAATGAGAAATGACAATCTTGTCTTAAACAATGAAAATGTGTAATTTTGTTCTTATAATATTGACATTCAGCCCAATTGCAAACGTCCGAACAACGAAAACGTCGAAAACCTTGATATAATATTAATTGATCTCGCTTATGAGCCGTAGCATGCATTTGAACATCAGATGTACTCGCATACACTTTTGTACAACCAAGCTAAACATAGAAACAAAACAAAGAATCGTAATCTTCTTTTGTGAAAAACAAAAATTTGAATTTTTTGACCTTTAAAATTCGTTATTAGGCATTAAAACAGTTAACATACTTCTAAACAATGATAATGTGTTTGTCTACCATTATGTAGACAATTTTGAAAATATCGTTGGCAATTATCACAAGTACTAAATCTTAAAAAACCATACTGAAATGATTCTTCACGTTTACGATGCCATTTTATATGTCGAATAGCATCTTCTCTACGTTGAAACACCTAAAACAAATCCAAAACTAATTCCTATAGATTATTACTGTCATTTACTTACCTTGTGTTTGCATATAGAACAATGAAAATGTTCTTTTTGATACAATGTTTCACACGAAGAATTTTCACATTCATTCGACGATGAATATCTAAATTAGAAAAAAAATATCATGTTAGTTTGATCATCAAACAACTATCAATAGAAAATGAAAGATTATAAAAAATTAGTTTTACTCTACAGTTACTCATAATCTTTAGGCTAACTGTTATAACTATATTTATATTTAAAAAACATATTATTTTTAATATAGCAGAAATATATGACCACCTTTTAATTAATTCTTTTTGTTGTGCACTTGATAATATTTGATTTGTTATATTCGCTAACGTACAATTTTGATCTGAATCTTGATCCATTTCTTCTTCTTCTTCATCGTCGTCTTCCACCATATTTTGCTCAACAATTTCAATTTCAGGTGATAATACATTTTCAGAAGTTGGTGTCTAGAAAAAGAGTAGAAGTTTTAGCAACCAACGGATAGGCTAGAAATAATTAACAACACATAGTTTTTCATCTATTTCTATAATCGTACCAAAAATTTCGTTCTCGAAAGATAGAGAAGTGGATTCTCTAGGAAATAGTACATTTGATTTTACAGTTCAATCAGAATTATAAGGATGATATGAAAAGTTTTCGTATTCAAAACTGTTCTAGCAGAACTTGAATTTCTTTTCTTGTACTAGTTCGCATTAATTTTTAACCTTCTATAATTTATTGCATAATTAATAAACCTCGAATTACATGCTCTAACAATCTGAATTCAAAGCGTTTAAAGTATGACTTTCCATTTTTCCATGCAAGAACTAGAGTGTCGCCATTTGAGATTTTATCAATACTTTTATACTTATCACCAGAAATCTATTTTCTACACAAAATATGGGATTCTGACCAGTTTTTCACACAATGTTAGTTTTATCTAGATTAGATTAGGATGAACACATAATCTTTTCCTAAAGTTATATCAAAAATAGTAGCCAGGAAACAGTAGGTTCCATCCCCAGAATTCAAGTCTATCTGAAGTGCTACAAGAGTCGGGCTGGTCTTACGAGGAAGCTCACCAGGTGTAGCATGCCGATTTAGTTAATTTTATGAGGATAGATAAAGCCTACTGTGACCAGAAAAAGTCCAAGAGGATATCGACCCATGCGGTTTCCTTTCCGAGCTGTAGGCAAATTAGTCTAATTACAGCTAAAACGAATTGGCATGTAAGTCGATAATTTTTCAAGATAGCAAGGTGACAGTTTTATCTGTGATACGTCCAGTCATAGAGTAGTTATGCTCAAAGTTTCAAGTTCACAATTGATATAGATCAGAAAAAATGCATTTTTCAATTTTTCAGCAGATTTTGGCTTATTAAGTGAACGATTCCTGAAAGTAGACACCGAGATACATCTTTTCGCAAGCAGAAGAAATTTCAAAATCCTTTTCGAAAGAAGGATTTTAAGAGAGTCTTTGGAAAATCAGTTTAATTGTCTAGAAATTAAAGTGGCAATATAGTGCTTTTTTACCCGGGTAGATAGTTCAAAGTGTGCTCTTCAAAACGGGAGCCAAGCAAGTCTTGATTTTTAGCGGTTTAGATGTGATATCGGATTTTTTAGGAGCCCCGAGACTCAAATCTGATGGTTTTTGATAGCCCTAAATTAGATGAAGCATAGGTAATCAACCACACTGAAATGTCGTGGCAATGTTTCGTCCTTGGGAAAAATTTAAAAACCTACTGAAAATTGATTTTATATAAAGTAACCCAGTTTAGAGTATTTTTACCTAATATCAAAACATTCATAACTCAAAGTTCGTCCATCAAAATTCATCATAACGGCCCCAAAACTTCAGAAGATATTTGATTTCAACTGTTCTACGTATGATTTAACATAAAAATTGTAAAAAGTTTGAAGAAAAGGATATAGTTTTTTCGGCCAGATTTCTAGAAACCTTGTAATAAAAACTGACTTTATTGATTTTTCTGTTCCGTGGTTATGGATAGATATACGATGAAATGGTGTATCTTCGGAAGTTTTAAGGTCGTTATAATGAAATTTTGACAGAGTTATGAATACTATAACATTAAGCGAAAATACTCTAAAATAGATACAAAATCACTAGATTTGAATGTCGGGGCTTCTAAAAAATCCGATATATCACACCTGCGTCATAGAAAATCAAGATCTCGCTTGGCTCCCATTTTGAAGAGCATACTTTGGACTATCTACCCAAGTAAAAAGCACTATATTGCACTATATTGAAAAATTGAAAAAAATCAAAGGATCTAAAATTTCGAAAAACTCTTCGGTTTCAAAAAAATTCAACCTTTTTTCTTTTTCGTTCATCTAGCTTTTCGAAAGTATTTTTCTCAGATTCAACATCAAAAACTGATTCAGACGATATATATTTCTAAAATTTCCGTTTAATTTTCATTTTTTGGTGAAAATCTCGGTCATTTCGACGTGAAAATTCAAAAAAGCTAATTTGATGACAGGATAAAAAAGTACATCAATCGACTCAGTTTTTGACGCTGACTCGGAATCTGGTATTTTTATTGCATAAAAGGTGAGTTCTCATGAAGACAATTGAAAAGTACAGGCAGAATTCCGATTTTTTTGCTCCTGATTTATGAAAATTGAATTTTCTCAGGGACGAATCGAAATAAAAAAGCGATCCGTACTTTTGAAGTTCGTTTAATGGCGGTTCTAACAAGTACAAAAATCGGCCACATCTCTTCACAAAAAAGTCTGCATAGTTTTGAAAAATTGGTTATGAAGTCTTTACAAGAAGACTTCAAGGCATTCACACAGAATAGACGTTTGACCTCAGGCTCGATCAAGCATCATTCTCATACTCAGTTTTTGATGATGAATCTGGGAAATATACTTTTGAAAAGTTAGATGAACGAACAAGAAAAAAGTTTGAATTTTTTTGAAACCGAAGGGTTTTTCGAGATTTTAGATCCTTCGATTTTTTTCAATTTTTCTTCCTTAAAAGAATCTTTTAAAAAATTAAAAACTACTTTTAATCAGTTCGACGAGCTCTGTCCAGCCATGTATAATAAAAGGAAACATAAACTTTGCTCGAATTTTGGATTAGTGTCACCTTAGTTTTATTGAAGGTTCTATCTTTAAAAGTTGTCCATAAATCGAAATTTTTATTTTTTTTCTCTAAAAGTAAGACAAAAAATCCGGCGCTGTTAAGTCACAGTTATAAGTCTTTTAGTCATTCTGAGATAAACTTGAGTCTTGTAGCCCCTTAGACAGAAGAGAAAATCTGGGAAACGGTTTTGGTTAGTGCATTTTAGAGCTTATAGAAAAATGCTTGTAACTGTGTAAGAGAATAGTTGTGCTATGCCTCACTTTGCTCAGAAAAGCTTGCTCTACAAATCTGCGTACTCAGAAAATTACTTAATTGCATAAGTATCAGCAAGAGAAAGTAGTATTTGAATATTGTATTTTTCGAAGTTTCCAAAAAACTTTTGCTAAAACTATGAAAAATTATCTCTGATGAAGAAAGCGATAGAGATTGTGAAAGTAAACACTTTAAGCTATCCGACCAAGTGTATATCTTAAAAGTGCTTTCTCAATAGAAATCGTCATTTTTTAAAGGAAGAGGACACTTAAAAAAAAGATTAGGAACAAAAACATCGCCTTATAGAGAACAGATTTTAATACGAAAACTTTTCACATCATCTTTATAATTCTGATTGAATTGTAAAATCAGATGTACTATTTGCTAGAGAATTCACTTCTCTATCTTTCGAGAACGAAATTTTCGGTACAATTATAGAAGTAGATGAAAAACTGCGTACAAATGTTGTTAGTTATTTCTACCCCATTTGTTCTGTTACTGCTGATTACCTCTATTTTCAATTTTTTTTGTACAATTTCTCCTTCTTCAATTTCATTTGAATCATTTAAAGATGTTTTTGCTGTTATTGCTGTTGAAGACATTTTTTGTAAAGAACGTTTTGTAATCGCTGAACATTTCCGTCGATTAGCTGCATTAACAGTATATATTGTTGATTTTGATTCAGTTAATTTTGTACCATCACTATCGTTAGTCCGATCATCGTTTGTCGCTTCCTTCTCTAATTGCTGATGTTCTTCTGTATCATTTAATAATGATTGTTCAGATAGATTTTTATTCAATTTAGCACATATGGCTTCTAATTTTAACGACATGTAATCTAAAGTCAACAAAACAAAACAATGAAATCGTTAAAAAAATTGACTATTTGAAAAATAGATTGATTAATTAATAAAATAAATAAAAAGACGATGATTTAACATGAAAGACTTCATCGTTAAGATTTTAATGAAATTTCTATTTCTTTTGATGTGTCAGTTTACTATAAATTGCACTCGAACTAGCATACGAGTTACAAAAAACGTACTGACTTACGTCATTTTTTTTTTTTTTTTTCATTGAAAAAGGCAAAATTTTAACGTTACCGATTTTCAATATAAAAAAAATTTGATTCTTTTTTGAGGTCTAAATGATAAATATTTTACCTTCTGCTTCGATGGATGTTAAATCATAATGGGAGCGAAATAAATTCTTCTTTTTATTATTTCTTGATTTCTTACATTTTTTTCTTTTTTTTTTTACGTTTATTTTTTTGCTACAAACGAACACACAACACGTAAAATTTGAAACTTTTATTATTTTTCGTAAAAATCCCTTTTTTTTTTCTGTTTTACAAAAGGTCATTTTTACACAACGGTAAAGAAAAGACGTTTTCAGCAGTTTAGAGTTTAACAACACACAATCCATAGCTTAACTATCATTAATTAAGAAAACAAAACGTTTACAAGTTATAATGTAATTGAAATCATGATCTATATGAAAATAAGATCTTGACTTAATAATTTATAATTTGTCAAACTCTCTCAATCTTATGGTAATAGATGATAAACATCTGACCATCCAACAAGGTCGATTAGTTTCTTTTCTTTTAGATTTTATCGTTAAAAAAAAGCAAATAACTAAATAGTTTTGTATAGATTGCGTTATAAAATCTTATTCATTTTCGTTTAAACTAACTAGAAAAAAGTATCGAAAAAAATATACAACAAAACAAATATTTCTTACTTGTGTAGACTATAGTAGAAATAGAGAAAGCCAAGAAGAACGTGTCGTATATAATCACACGAAATTTGAAATATCTAAAAGATATAGACCGCACACTTTTATTTGTTGAAAAAAAACAAGATGTTATTATTTTTTGTCTTTTAATTCACGGTGGCGGTTTTGCTAGAATTTTATATACACATCTATACTCGATTTCTCGAACATGTGATATAGCATGTTGCGCGAAAGAAAAAACGAAGGAAAAAAGGGATTCTTTTCTTGATATCGTATAATAATGAATGTACGCGCACATCATATGATCGTTTATTGATCACAACAACAAAGTATAAGAGACAAAGAATGTGTTCATAAAATATCAGAAACGACGGCGATATACAACTAATTAGAGAAACAAAAATGACTAACAATGCTCAGAAAACGCTCAACACAATATTTTCTCTTTTCTATATACTTTTATTACACTGTTTTTATTTTTCTTCTAAAATCTTACAAAATGCGTTTAAAAAAAGAAAAAGAGTACGCATAGATTAAAGTTGATCGTTATAGAAAAAAGCGCTTTAGAGAAACAGATGAGCTTTTTTTAAGCTAAACCTTCTGAGTATAGACATTTTTCTCATATGTATACCAACATGTTGGTGATATTTGACGAGTACAATTGAGCAAATAGGCGAAACTTGACTGCCGCTACATGACAATGTTTTTATATCCAAGATGAAGTGGAAAAACACTATGTTTATCTAAAAGTCGGTGTAATAATCGAATTAGTGAGTCTGTAGAATGACTTTCGGATAACATTATGTATTTTTAGTGGAAAAAGAAATATTTAAGTATCCGTTAAAAAACCAGTCACCATAGCAAGTTTCTAAATAAACCGAAAACGTAAAGAGATAGTATTTTTCACGATTTTGACGCATTTTTGAATAAGAAGAAAAAATTGCAAAGCTTTTTTGAAAATGAGGTTTTTAGGAAACCGTAAAAAAACTGATCAGCATCTCAAAAAGTTCATCCAGGAATATTTTCATTTTTTATGTGGATCGATAGTTCAACGTTTCTTCTTTAGAACGAAAATCACCCGAATTCTTCATTTTCATCGTTTTGTGCGTGGAACTGGGTCTTGTAAAATTCCTGGAATTGGTTTATCTCAAAAATGGATGGAACCATGAATGATTGGCCTTGCTGAATCCCGTGACAGTGTTTGGTTTTCGAAAAACTTCCAGAAACATAGTGAAAATCTGTATAAGATGGGAAAAATCCTTTTTTCTGGCTGCTTTCAATGAAAATTAAAAAGCAGTAACTCCGTTGAAACAAAGATTTGTAAAGTTCAGAGATGAATAACTTCTGTGTTTCATATTTGAAATATCATCATACTTAACTTTCTGCTTCAGGATCGTCTTATTATATTTTGGAGCTATCCGAAAGACCATTTATAGGTATCGAAAAACGAACTAATATCTCTCTAAATAGCAATTTTTTCACAATACACTGCAAGTTCGACCCATGGCTTCGACTATCACTTAACAAAATAATAGAATGTCCAAAGGTACGCCAAAAATTATTTTTTTCTTCGGTCTCTGTTTTGTGTAAAATGTGCCCCTCATGATCTAGAGAACTACGCTAGTTAGAAAAGTTCTGAAAACGGGATGCTGTTCTTAATATATTCGAGATTAACCGATGCTTGTTCAATTTTCGAGCAGTGGCCCACATTTCTGCGCCCTAAGATGGAAGAAGTTAACGGAAAATGTATTTTGGACTTAGATGTTTTTCATACATTTTGTTATCGGCGCTATTTTTAAAAGAAGAACTTTGAGAACAAAATAAATTATTTATTTCTTTGTTGAGAAAAGAATTTTCGTTATAGCACGTGAAACAGACCTTAACTTGTAGTTTTCAAGTCATTCGGAACAATCTTGACCAAATTAAAAATATTTTAAGGATATCTCCCTCTTTTTTAAAAAAATTTCGGATAGCCCAATGTAGAGGACAGTGTGGACTACAAAATGAGACCACTCCCAGCAATCCACCACCATTCTTCAAAAAGTTATGCATTTTTGAAGTTTTTCCTTCAAAGCGTATATAAGCTCAATTTTTTAGTTTCAGAAACTTTTCTCTCAGTTTCTGAACATTCAAAATTTTTCTTACACATAATCTGATACAAGAAAGTGTTTTCTTCACAACGAGTCGTTTTCCAGTATTTTCCGATGAGTTTTCGTGGAGATATAAGCAGACAAATGCTCTTAAAAAAATGCGTTTTTTCTCGAAAACTATTTTGTTGCTACCAGGCTTCATTGGACCGCATTACGACCGCCTTAAATTTCATCGCGTTAAAAATTTTACCAGAGGTATTCAAGATACTATCGCAGAGGTAATTTCTGGAATTTTATTTTAGACTTTTCTTTACCGAGTTTATTGAGTTAATTTGAGTGTGGTGATGACGTTGAGAGAAATCTCAGCAGTCTAGTTCTTGTTTGCGCACGATCTTTAATGTGTTTAACGTATTGTTCCCATGAGAGCGTTTTATCGAAAACGACATCTAAATATCCTGCAGACGACCATGGACGTACTGTTGTTGTTCCTACTAACACTTCTATTGAATTTTTACTTTTTACGAGGGTACGGACTAAAATGAAGCATTTTAGTTTTAGTTGGCTGTAGTGAGAATTTCCAGCATTCACAGAGACGCTTGAATGCGTCTATAGATTGTTGTAGGCGCTTATTGAACCCAGAATTAGATTACAAGTCGTCCATAAGGATGTGTCGTCTGCAAATAGGCCGTGGGACGTGTGATCAGGTATTCCATTCATCGAGTCAGTGGTATAAAGTAAGTATAGCAGTGGCGATAAAGGGAAACCTTGAGGCGTTCTACATTAGATTCTAAATTTAATTGATACTAGGCTTTCGAATTTAATTGATGCTGTTCTTTCTTGTAGAAAGGAGATTAGCCAGCGGACAATGTATTCGTGCATCTTTAGATTAAATGATTTGTATAAAAATCATTGAGGAACATGTTTAATTGCTTGACTTTACAAACTATGCATATGTATGACAAATTTTTTATTCTTCTCAACTGTATCATGTAATATGTTAGTTACCAAACCTGGCACATTATTACAAGAATCTCATGATAGAGAGGGGTGCTGAGGATTACGAACTGAAGATTATTGAAAATTTAATACTATCGAAGATGTTGATGAAACAGTAGATGTTGTGCTGGTTGAATTGGTGGTGGTCAGACTTCTTTTTGTTAATGGGGCGTCATTTACAATAACCACATCTGAATAGGATAAATAATTGATTACAAGCAGCACATTATTCCTATATAATATTAATCATTAATGAGGCAGAAATTATCGAAAAAATTGAATCTCGTGTCCTTGACAAACTGAGTGCTCTCAAAAAAAGTACTGGTCACGAGATTGTTAAACATGCCTGTCGCACGCAACGCAGCATCTCTCGCTGTATCTGATGCAAATAAAAAACGTACAACGTTGACCGTTTACTTAGAAGAGAAGTATGTGAAGTATGTAAATGACTGTGTGTTACAGTGAGAAGAATCCTTATGTGAAGGAAGTGATGGCTTCGTTGATCCGGATGGGGATGGATATCTTTTGAGACATCAGAATGCAGTTGTCCACGATGATGCAGGTTCTCTAGTGCAAGGTCTTACAGATCAGGCGATCATCTCAACAAAAATGATCGATCTTCCGATCCAGAAGAGGAAATTTCGTTTAACTTTTTTAATTCTGTTTTACAAGTTAAAGCGAGGTTTGAATATCTCTCCTTTTTTCAAACATTGTGTATATAATAGTAGTGAACGTTTAGATGTAACTCGAATTTTTAAAGCTGTGTGCTTTTATGTGTTTTTAGAATTAAATGGTTACGTTGAGTGTGAGGAACTTAAGCGCGAAATTCACACAAAAGTTTTTGGAGTGTAAGATCTGTAAGAAGAAAGACGAAATACGCTCCAGCAACATTTGAACTGCTTCAGCTACAGCGTAGTTTTGTTTTTGATGTGAAATCTGTTTCCTCTCTTGACGAAGTACCACAGCCGATTAACAAATTTAAGTTTCATGTAACATTTGGTGCTGAACGTAGTTCTTTAAGACGTTTTCAGCTTTTTGTAAACGAGGATAAGCGTCTCCTGCTGCGTTATGATGAAAATCAAGACGATTATAATATTGCAGTTTTTCAGCCTAAAAAGTGTAGAAAAGATATGTCAAAACAGAAGCTTCTAGTGCTAACGGTTAGTAATTCATTTCTAACAAGAGCGATTTAGCATTTTTTGACGACGGTGAAGTTGGACGTGTTGATATCCGTGCGCTTCGTGAAATAATAGAAAACTATTTGAGAGAGTCAAAAATCAGTCATGATATTGATTTGATTGAAGAATCAATCAAAGGGGATATTCCTGAAAAAATCGCAATTGCAAAACATCGTTGTTGCTTATTGTTACAAGATCAGACTTTTTATTCGTTTTCTGTGCCTCGGAGTGAGGAACCTAGACATTACGTTGAATTTAATAGCATTTGTTCTGATTGATTGTTGGGCACATCAGCCAGAGAGGCTAAACGAAAAATACAGTTTGTTGACAGTGACTCATCTAATTCTTGTGTAAGAGGAAG